TATCATACATAATCATCTCTAGTCTGAGCAGAACAAAACCTTTATGTTAGTTGACATTAATCTTCTTCTTCCCCATGAAGGTCGCTTTCACCATCGCTGCTCTGTCCGTGGCCGTCGCCGAGTATTGTCAGGATATTTGTGATGGTTATTCTCCCTGTGCTGACTCCAAGTATGGCTCCTACTGCAAGGGCAACGGTGTCTGCTTCGGCCTCTACCATAAGGATGATGGTTACTGCTTCCAGCCGACCGAACAAGACACCTGTGATGACTACACGTTGGAGCCGGTGGCTTGTCCCGAGCCCACCCCCACCTGTCAGGACGTCTGCAATGATATGTCTCAGTGCCGCGATTCCAAGTGGGGATCGTATTGCAAGACTTGGCAGAATCCGGCGGTTTGTTTCGGTATCATCAAGAAGGATGATGGTTCTCTTTGCTTTGCCCCCACTGATAGTGACTGCGAAGGTGAACCCTACTATTGTTAGCCTAGTTTAGGTATTCCTTAGCATCAACTATGTTGGTCGAATTTTATTTTCTGAGTAATCGTGTAATCACATCTAGGTGAGTGGTCTAATCATTAATATTCTGTTGTGTTTTATTGGAAATCCGGATTGTTTCTGGTAGAGTAAACGGAGCTCAAGAGACATTGTGCGACTCGTTCGTTCCCAGAACTCGCACTGTGACTCGTGAGGACGAGGGTAACTATTCGCCGAATCACATTGTCCGTCATTAGTTTTCATACCACTATTGTTACCGTAGTGGCCACAGATGTCAAAGGGGATTTGCCTATCTTTTACGTATCCACTACAACGCAGGGTAGATGAGCTAAGGTTGATTGATTCGACATACATCAGTAGAACACCTGAATCTAACTCAGTAAGACTTACTGTATCAATAGTATGATGGGCCAATATACTGTATAATATACAGTGTATATTATATACAGGGCAATTATCACGCATGATTGTAGATCTGGTTCGCTGATTCAATCAACTCGCCAGAAGCGATGGGTCATATATGGGCTTTGCGAGGAGGGCTGTTACTAATGTTGGATGTTGGGGATTCTTCAAGGTTGGGTTGCACCATCGCCGTGTCAACGCGATTGATGTCGGTTTCGATGTCAAATTCGAGCGTACATTCTCGGTGGAGTGTCGGAACTCCGTGGTGCTGAAAAGAACTCGATACTCCTCCTCGTCGAGTTGCGGCTGTAGGTTGGGCATTCCTTGATAACCGCTTCCCGGAGGACCGTAGTAACATCCAGGCCATTTAATCTATCGTGGCGGGCCGTATTCTGGAAACATGGCCTACGTGAAGGAGATATTCCTCGATGTAAAGTGACATTTTCAGGGAGCGAGCATGGAACAATGGAGTTTCATTCGTTTCATATGACGTGGCGTGACACTACGTTTAACCTCTGACCACAATCTCGCTAACTCGCGCATTAAACAGTCGACGCAAGCAAACGAGCTCCGTAGACTGAGGGTGTTAACGCCATGGAGGCGAAGCACCACGAAGGCTCACCCCTCTATCCGGGAAGGAATGGGCGGGTCAAAGAAGCAATTCTTCCAGCCCAGCAGCTCTGGAGGCCCATAGTCCACCTGGCGGACTCCATCAGGCTCACAGGGAACCTAAAGTCTAGGCTAGAGCACACAATCTAGGGCTAGACAAGTAGTCCTATCCGGGTTCACGTCACGTGAAACGAGAAATACACGCATGTGCCTCGCGTGGCGAGATCACCCGTGTTGTACACCTTTAAACAGAGTTCATCGGAATATAAACGATGCGATACTCGTGGTATGAGGTGAACTGTGAACACTCCATGAGTCGCACCGAACGCAGCTCCCAATATCATGTAAAATACTCGCACCATGTGCACGAAAAGTGGTGGATCCAAAGTATATCTTCACGCATCGCGTGCCGATAGACTCCCCTCAGCGGAGTCCTCCGAGAAGTCTCATCGCGCTTGCGTGCGTGAATATAGGCAAAAGACACATCCCGGGCTATTGCTCTTGACCATTGAGCGTCACGGACCCCCAAGCCCGTAACCATCTTGGTTCAAGATCTGTGTACGTTTGGGTTGCATCTCTTCAGCTAAGGTCGGATCGTGTGTTGGCGTAAGGGGAGGGCAGCATGCACCGGACAGCAGCATATGGTGTCCTCTCTGAAGTCCATCATCGACTCGGTTACCAAGTTCTTATATGACGCCTCTCTTCAGTATACACTCTGATGGCTATTACGATCCAGATGCTCCTCGTTAATGTCATCATCGCTCTATTGACTATTCAGTCCGCAGCGAGACCTTCCCCGCCCAATGGGGTCTATTCTAAGGTTCTTGACGATATTACTGTTGAAGCAACCTTCGGCGAACCGGAAGACACGGAGCTTCCTCTCATCCTGAGCTGCAAATGTGGGCAGAAGGATTGGAAATATTCGGATGACTTGATGGTGAAGAAGACAGGATTCGATATATTCAATATTGATGGCGGCTCCTTGGGCCATTACCGGAAATTTCTAGCGGTTGTCAGATCGAACTGTCCAAGGTTTCAACTCCAGGAGCCTGATCTGCAAAAGTTCATCTACTTTGCTTCCAGTCATACCATTCAAACTAAGGTGCTGGGCAAATTCACCACTCTAGTCAAGGCATGAATCCCTATCCATACTCTTCTGGGATGGAAGTCTCGACCATCAGTGATCCCAGTATGCTGACTTTCGGTTATCATAACCAGTATAGGTGGTATGGTAAATCTTGTTAGAGTATGTTGAACATACGTCCGTCCATATGACGATTCAAATCTGGTTTATCATATCGTCAAACTGATTCTGACTCCATTCTGGGGCAGTATACTTGCGTGCAACGATGATGGGCAGGCGTGCTTTTGCTCGGGCCGAGCTATGGCCATCCCTATTATTAGATAGATCCAATTACTCCACTACTCAAGTTAGCCTTTTTTCGAGAGCTCAATGGCAATGAGTTCAGTCCTTGGCGACGCCATGATGGCGGCATAACGCCAACAGTTGCAAACACAGGCCCGATCGCATCGTCCCGCCCGAAACTTATGATAAATCTTATCAACTTAACTCGTCACATACTTCATCTGTGGCCACCAGATCGTCATCCTTGCACCTTTGTGGATTGCACGTCTAAGATGCAGAGAATCGAAGTGAGAAAGAGGGCGAAGCAGCAACATTCACTCTACAAACGCGCAAACGTGTCGTATTGTATAACGGAGTCACCCGGATGTCATCCTGCGGATGAACATCGTTTGCCCATTTGCATTCCAGGGAGTTCCTGGCAGGAACTGCTATAATAGATGAAGGTTGCCGCTGTGTAAAGGTGCTACTATGTAACGAAATTGAGCAAGTTTGCTGGTAAAGGTGGCAAATCGGTATCATTCTCCAACACCTCTGCACAGTCGATGATAATAACTCTAAGGAGGTGTTCAAGAGTGAATATCTCGCGTGGGAGTTTCTGTCAGGGGTTCCCGTAGTGATGCTCCCGTAAAAGTGAACCCCCAGTTATGTTATCGCTGTAAAATACCACGGGATGCAATTTCCTATGATGCGGAAAAGTGAGGTATCCTCACTCAATCGGTGGCACTGAGGATATTAGAGAATGAAGACTCTCACCTCAACTGCGATCCTCTACATCTGGTTCGATCGTGGCGTATTATTGATATATAATTACGTATAGCGGATAATATCTGGTAATCGACATTGGACATAGCTCGCATTATCCCAGAAATGTTATGATGCATATATCGCGTTGTCACGGAGCAGTCCGATAATGAATGCCCCATGGGGCCTATCTCAAAACTATCTTCGAAGAAGGGCTTCTTGAGGTTCAAGAACCTCTTGAAAGAAGGGGCTCAAAAACCTTGAAAACAGTTGAGGTCCTCAATGGATTTAAAAATGTTGGACTTCTTGAGGTTTTTGGAAGCTCATTTCGATTGACGTTTTCGAACCGAAATTACGAGACAAATAAGGGAAGTCATGTGTGAAATGTCTCGGCGAAACAGTTTCGCAAGCTACGACCAAAAACGCGTCACAGCCAAGTTGAACCTGCCCCTCAGGAGGTTTAGTTTCTTGAAGCGAAATGTTCATGAAAATCAGATCTTTGAAATCGGTTATGAGCTTGTTGAAGCTACTTACGCTGCGTAAGTTACATATTTTAACGTAGAGACGAGGTTCTTACAGGAAGGCTTCCTTAATGAATGATTCTTTCAAAAAGGGTTCAGGAGGTTGATGGTTCAAAAAACACTTCTTGAGGTTTTCCAAGGAGCCGCTCCTTGAGTGCGTTTCGAAAGCGGTTTAGGGCCTAAATTCAGGCAAAATTTGGCCGTTTCACGGGTAAGAACTTCTTTACTAACTTCTTTTTTCAAAATCCTCTCTAAGAACATTCTTCTTACCAAGAAGAATGTTCTTAAAGAGGATTTTGAGATAGGCCCATGGAGTGTGACACTTGGTAAGTACTTGATAGATACGCAACGCTACGGAGAGGAAACTGATGTGAACCGATGATCCAATAAGAGTTCAACGAAACAGTCCAGCTTACCGTAACATTGAGTGTTGCGTTGATAGACTGCGAGGTAAAAATCTTTTACCGTCTTTTAGATATTTTACTAAAAGATATCTTATCATTGCTTTTTCAAAAGTCGAGTGATGTCACTAATTTTACTTGTTTTGACCAGAGAAATAAGATTCGCGGATAAGGACATGAAACTAGCGGAGGCGATGGAATTGCCTCCGTGTCAGCATACACTCAGCAGTGCCGAAGTGACAGTGATATTGCTGGTCAGTAGCTTTCCCGCGTAGACTTCCGACGTTGGTATTTCAAGAGTAGCATGCCCTATGGAATGATCGAGCGATCTGCCATCGAGCCCTTTCCTTCATTCAACTGGGAGGCGCAACACGTAATGACTCGCATAAGAAATGAGACGCCTCTGATAGAACCATCATACACCTGAGGGAACGTTGGAATTCGATGCAGTTAAGGCAAGCTCACTCTACTGTGTCACCCTGTCGAGGCACTCCCACATGAGCACCGAGTTACCCCGAATGACGGTCATACCGATATCCTTCTTCTCCGTGCGAGAGACCAACTCAACCTGAGATCCATGAGGGCGATTGAAACATCAGGATGGAAAATCCCACATCAACAACCAGTGTGGCGAAAATGCACATGGTCAACTTCATGTGTTGGTGAGTCACCAACACATAAATGGTGTTCATGAAGGCCGCTTCATGAATGGTGATGAATGGTTTCATATTGTCACCAATGGTATTCGCTCCTAGTCCGGTACTGTCCGTTTATCCCGGGTCGATAACCCGAAACCCGAAACCATGACAATATGAAAACCATATAATGGCCATGTTGTTCCACGAGCCAATGGTGACAATATGAAAACTCTGAGGGAATTTGGGAAAAATATTTGCTTTCTTACCCTTCTACCCGAATTCAAGTGTACACTCCTAAAATTAGTGAAGACACTATTGGATTCGAGTGAGGAAAGCAAACATATATTCCAACACTGTCAGTGGCACAGCAATTCTCTACGAGAGTTCAGTCAGGGGGGTTAGTACCGCATTATCCAGCACGAGATTCATGAACTGGTCGTAGCCTCTGAGCACTCCAACAACATGACGATTGCCGTTCAGCTTTACTGACCAATGAAGCCGTTGACGTTGATGTCCCCTTGGAGGTTACGCATATTACGATCAAGGCGTTTCTCCATGAACTTCCTTAAGTCGGCACCAGCACCTGCCTTGGGGATTGAGACGGTAGCTGACATTATTATGGTACCGCGGTGAGGGGGCGAAAAACGTAGCGGTGATGGAGACCGGCTGAGGAACACTCAGTGAGTCCGCAGAGTATCAAATAAGAAGGAGAAGCCTTTTGGATACAGTTTTGTAATATGCGTTCGCTTCCCTCAGCTGACCCTAGGAGTTTCCTCACTAATTATAGGAGTTTATATACAAAGTAGGGTAGAAATGTACAGGAAATTTCCGAAATTTACTCAGAAATTTCATATTCTCACCAACATATGTGGTTGACCATGTGCATATTTTCCCACACTGTTTGGATATCGTAAAAGGCATTGGCTGTATGTGCCGACCAATACCTTAGTCACTTGCTCTCAATACATGATTCCCTAAGCATGCTCGAACATGGAATGTACATGAATTGTCACCCTTACTCGGCGATAATCATGTATAGATCTCGGAGAGAACCTTCAACGACAACCTAAATCTTGCAAACTCGCAGTTTCTCAAGCATCAGCGTATCTGCTACACAAGAGCACTTGATTATCCACTCGTAGACAGGATCCATCCGTCTTCCGATTGTGTCACAACTGATTCTGGTGGGCGCTAGAAGTTGGAGATCAGCTTTATATTTCGAGCGAATCGTGCAAAGTTAACTGTGCTTGTTTTTAGGCGTTTTCGTTCTATTGTTCTTTTCTCAAGACTAATACAGAATGTATATCGCCGCCTCTTCTCGCGTTCCTTTGTTCTGTTTTGCGGTCATCTGGATTTCCGCATCTGTGGCACAGGTAACAGTCTTATGCTTCGCTCGCTCACCCAGAAGTATTTCGTTTTTCAGGTGGTGCTCAATAAATGGTTCCAGTTTCTACTGACACCGCAGATCCCCTGGTTCCTCGCTGACCTCGCTGGTGCTGGCTTTGTCTTTACCGCTCCCTTCTACGTATGGTTTGTGTACTCGGCAAGCCTGAAAGCGAAGCATGCTGGGGTCAAGGATGAATCTGTGAAGGATCTGTTGAAGGCCCCTTACTCTACTGGGAGAATCCAGTGGCACATGTGGAGTGGGCTGACTATGGCTATCCAGTTGGTTTCCATCTCCTTCGCCCTTACGATGATGCCTGGAAGCACATTCACTGTTATCAGAAGCAGCGAGCTCCTTATAGGGCTCATACTGTCTGTGATGGTGTTCAGGAAGATCTTCAACGGTTGGCATTACCTCTCGATTATTATGATGCTTACTGGTGGGAGTATGACTGCTCTCGCTATGGCCAAGCCTGCTCAAGCTCAGCATCATGAATATAACATGACCTTGGGTATCATCATTACAGTGTTCGGTGTTGCTGGTTCTAGTACGGTACAAGCTGTTCTCACAGAGTGGGTTTACAAACAGAAGATTCTCGTCAAATCGAGAAATGACCACCTGCTGGAGGCTGGAGTGTAAGTTGTCCTTTTTCATGGACGTATTGTTGACTTCTCATGTTGTTCAGGTACAGCATGGTGTTCTGCTGCCTATGGCAGATTTTGTTCACCGCACTCTTCTCTGGAGGAGAGTACCGCATGTGGTGGACCACGCTATTGCCGCATCTGAACTCGTTAAATATCACTCTGTTGGTGATCTTGTGTGCGTCCCGTGCTATCGCCTTGGTTGCGAAGATTGGTGTCACTGCTCACTCGGATGCTATGTTCAATCGAACCTTGTCGACGGTCAGGCGCGCCACTCAGGTGAGTTTTGCGGATCGCAAATTTTTCTGGTTTTGTATTTTCCGCGTTTCAGATTACTATAATGGCCATGTTGTTCCACGAGCCAATGTCAGTTATTGCTATCGGTGGCATAATCTTGACGCTAGCCGCCTGCTTGTTGTACGGTCTGGCTAAGAGCCCCACTGTGAAGCCCTCTTCTAAGAACAACAATCTCGTCGCGGAAGAGGTGAGTTTGGGTTGTCTTTTATGGTTGATTCATCGGTGATATTCTGGTAGAATAGGAGTAGGAGTGGGTACGAATGGTGTATAATCTTAATATAGTGACATTCGATGTTGGGCGAAAATGTGGTAGTCTGAGAATTGAATGGGTTTCCTTTTCTCAGGCGCTCCGTGAGAAACTGTTGGAAACGAGCGTGAAGGATCTGGAAGCTGGAATATGTGCAAGTGCTCGCAAGGTCCCCGTCCGTGTGGTGGAGTAGGAGGACGTGTTGTATTTTGTGAACTATTCGGTGTTAGCAGTCGTACTGCCTCTAAAGTGAAGTGCAGCATAGTGTTCCTCTGTCACATAGTAGTCGTTTTAGAGTGTACTGTCCTTTGAGTGGATGCTGATGATATCACATCACACTCCTCATAATAAACTCAACTTATTCGCCAGGTTTGCTCTCCCAACTTTTCTCCTGTGTGGTCTTGGGCTCTCGGTGTTCGGTCAATTTATTCAGTGGAGTTTCACCCGTTTTACGCGAAGTGGAGTAATACTCCACGTGAAAAACGTGATATTCGCGATGTGAAGTGAATTGAAAACACTTCGCGAATTACACCAGACAAATCATCACATTTCACGTAAAACGCTTCCGGCATTTCGCGATAAACGCGAAAAACTCCGAGTAATCGGCGTTTTACACCATTTATTTCACAAGGGAGATTGTGAATTTCGCGAAATTTTTTATCGAGAAAAACGCGATTTGGAGACGTGAAAAAAGGCATGTAAAATGAATTTCACTTCCCGATGTGAATTTCGCGTGAAAAAACGCGTTTTCGCGAAATTCACATGGAGTAAATCGCGATATGCACCGACTAGGGTGAAAAGGCCAGTGAAAAACACGTATTACACTTCACCTTCATTTTTCGCGAAATAACGCGTAATTCGCCAGAAAATACGCGTTTTTCGCGTTTTATACGGGGAAAAACGCGAAAAACACCCCACCCCGCAGTAAAATCCATCAAAAGCCCCCTTCATGCCACTGCCAGCTGTCCACCCACATTTCACTCTATGGAGTCACCTCACTCGCGGGACCCGTCTTACTACTGGCACTTCCACGTTGGGGCCTCGTGGGATGATCATGATCATCATCCCGTCAACAGCCATATGTAGCAACCAGCCTTGCGGACCCCTCTGTGAGGGATTGTGGGCGAGAGCTGAGCGAGGTTCGTACCGGGAACCTCCCGATGAACAGCTTGGCAGCATAACCTACTTAAGTAATCATCCTAATAAGATGTGTCCATGTGTCACTCTGCCCCACGTCCCCGGATTTTTTTCACCCGTGTCCCGCACCGACAACGATATCCTTGTCGGTGCGGGGATACCTGTTGGATATCCTTGTCGGTGCGGGGATACCCATTGGATATCCTTGTCGGTGCGGGGATACCAATTGGATATCCTTGTCGGTTCAGGGATATCCAAATAACTGGGATAGGGGGGGCAAATTAGAGACAGGTTTCCCTAGGATATTTGAAGTGTTGATTTAAGTTATAGCCAGTGCAAGGTTTGAGACTGTAGGCATAATGACCCCAAATATGCGTATTTCGCGCAAAACGCGAAATAATTTCGCGTTCTGCATATCACATGAAAAACACCTCACGTGTATTACGCGAAATTCACTGCTCACATGCGTTTTTCGCGAAGTGAAATGTGAAATGTGTTTTTCACTAGTGTTTTTCACATCACGGGTGAAACTCCAGTGTAGTAGAATGTTCATCAATCAGATTATGTTGTCAACTTTGAGGTTTGGCTTCTAGGGACTAGTTTTGATTGATAGGAAATAAGACTTACTACTGCAAGGATGATGTAAGAGGCGCCATTGGGAAAATCAACAGCACCAGAGTGTCTGTCTCAGCTGTGCCTAGTTGCTGCACATAGTGCCGGTCGTGGCCAGTGGATCATGAGATCAGTTTTGGAATTTTACCAAGTAAATGACGAATTTTCGGATATCGCTACTGCTTTTGGTGAAATGTTTCTACCACTGGATAGTCGTTTTCATAATGCCCGCTGCACCCTCTGCAGGAGAACATCATCGCGGTTCCCTTCATATAGCAGCTTCGTCCGTTATTCCGCTTATATGCTTCACAACGATTTGGATCACCACATCTGTTGGGCAGGTGAGTTGGCGGGCCTAGTCTATCTCTAAGCAGTGTTGGGGGAATATATGTTCGCTTCCCCCAGTTGAGATCAGGAGCTTCCTCACTAATTATAAAAGCTTGCGCACGAATTCGGATGAATGTTTGCAGAAACCGATGAGGATTTCCCAGAATTTACTCGGAATTTTGGTGCTCTCACCAATTCACGTAGTTGATCATGTGCATATTTTCCATAGTGTCTCTTTGAGCTAGTGTTGGAATATATGTTCGCTTTCCTCAGCTGAGCTTAGGAGCTTCCTCACTACTTATAGAAATTTGCACACGAATTAGGGTGAAAGTTTGCCCAACATTTCCCTCGAAGTTTTTATAGTGTCACCAACACACGTAGTTGGCCATGTGTCTCACACTACTTTTCCTTGATCAGGTTGTCTTGGTGAAGTACTTCCAGTTGGTGCTGAATCCTCAGCTGCCCTGGCTGCTGGCTGATCTGGCCGGAATAGGATTTGTCATCGTCATTCCAATGTACATCTTTTTCTGTGTGAAAAGAGTTCGCTATGAGAAAAGTGAGATGAATTCTCGTCCCTAGAAGATTACTTGGTTTCAGAGGAGCGCATCGGATCGTCTACTCTGGGAGATCTGTTTTGGGCACCGTATGGTACGGGGAGAATAAAATACCATATTTTGGGCGGCCTTCTTACAGGGTTTCAGCTACTCTGTATTTCTGTAGGTTTTGTCATGCTTGAAATTTGGAATTATTATTTTATTCAGTTCGCATTGAAGATGCTGCCAGGCAGTACTTTCACGGTGGTCCGCGGTAGCGAGCTTTTGATCACTCTGAGTCTATCGCTGTTCTTTTTCGGAAAGTACGCCCGAGCGACCGACCGTCGTCTTGTCCTGTAGTCTCGAGTGTTGGAGATTCCAACAGCTGAGGACAGCGAACATATATTCCAGTTTGGAATATTTGTTCGCTTTCCTCAGCTGAGCTCGGGAGCTAGCTCATGGAATAAAGTAGCTCCTCTATGAAATTGGGTAATAATGCACAGTTGTAATAAGTTTTCTAAAAATTTTCGTGCTATCGCCGAGTTATGTAGTTGACCATCTGCATATTTTCTCCCATTGATAGTCTCTGTTCAGACCTTATAACATGTACCACTACCTTGGCGTGATAGCGATGATTAGTGGAGGCGTGATGGTTTCTATGGCCACCGCCGAGCAGGAGAAGGTCCATCGTGAGGGAATCAATGTCGCCGCTGGAGCCGCTATCACGTTCTTCGGTGAGTCGGAAATTGGACTGCCCGAATTCGAGAGCGTTTCAGGCGTGGCATTTACGAGCTGCTCCCAAGCCGTGTTGGTTGAATGGCTGTATCACCACAATGTGATGGTGAAGAAGCGATATGATCATCTTATGGAAATATCATTGTAATTCGGCCGCTAGTGTTTTGTAAACCCGTGATGTTACTGGCAGATATACGACTTTGTGGACGGCGATTGTGCTAATAGTTGGCACTTATTTTTTCTCAGGAGGGGAATATCATTTATGGGGAACTACTATTTCGGTGGGCCCATGTCGATTCGGCGCGTTCACAGTGATCCTCGCTGGTTTTCATCTGTTCGTGTGTGAGTAGATAGATAGGTTTTGTTGTTTTCGTGTCCTGGTGTTAGGACAGTGTTGATCATATGTTTCCTTTCCTCGAATGGGCTGAGGAGTTTCCCGTTTTATTAGAGAATTCGCACATGAAGTGCATAACAGGCAAGAAGAAGTTCCTCAAAATGTCCCGATTGTCATCAAAACACGTGGTTGATGGTCAACTTTTATGGCTAAGCGTTGGCCATGTGCATATTTTGAAAATATCTTTTCCTCACGTCGCATTGGTTGGTCTCGCTCTCGTTAGAGACGATATGGGTTACGCCATTTCGTTCAAATGCAAGTATTCATCGTGCTTCTTTGTAGCATAGCATCACGTTAAGTTTGTGCGTTCGTGAATTTGGTGGCCATGTTCATGCGTGCAACGATGACGCCAACCCGATGTGACGCCATCGTGTTGGAGATATGTCGGCGTTCTTTTTATGTTGTCTATGTTGCCGCTGCCCTCAGGAAGCGATATCTGCCTCCCCGGTCACCACATGGCTGTGCCTTATCGGTCTGACTATCTCTCGTGCTTTGGCCATGACCACCAAAGTCGGCGTAACTGTGCACTCGGACGCCATGTTCAACAGGTCGCTCACTACCATCCGTAGGGTCTGTCAGGTGAGATGATATTGATGCCGAGATGTGAGGTGATGATGTGCCTTGTCAGATATCGTCCATGGCTATCTTATTCCACGAGCATCTTTCGGCTTTGGCATTGATTGGTATATTTGTGAGCATCGCCGCGAGTTCGCTCTATGCTGCTGCAGGTGAGTTACGACGAATTTGAGACTTCATCCATGTGATGCTCGGTCAGCGTCCCTTGGGGCTCGGAGGTCTACTGGTAACTCCTCTGATGTTGAGGGGAGTAGCAGTGCTCCACTGCTTGCTAAAAGATAAGATTCATTGTGAAAACATGATAGTTTGTAGCTAATATGATTCTCATTTCAATTCTGGTGACGCCGCTGAAACGGTACTCGGCATGCGCAACATTGTCCATGCTCAAGATGAATCGCTCTTATGCTTGTGTTCAGTGCTCGGATGACCTACTTTGCAGGTTTCTTTTTTTCTCTTCATCTTGAGGATGTCGAATAATGCCCACCATCATCATCATCATAGAATCGCGAGGTCGTCGATTATACCGTTGATATGCTTCACCATTATTTGGATCATCTCTTCGGTTGGTCAGGTGAGTTTGCATGAATTCTGCTCTTGCTTTACAGTAGTGCTATTGAAACCCTCAGGTTGTCTTGGTGAAGTACTTCCAGACGAACTTGCATCCGCAGCTGCCATGGTTGCTGGCTGATCTCGCGGGCGTTGGGTTCATATTTGTGATTCCTTTCTATATCGCCTTCTGCTTAAGAAGAGTGAAGTTCGAAAAGGGTGAGTGATGCGGTTTTTCGGAGAAAAATTTCACCTCAGAAAAAGAGGAAAATCCCTCGACGATGATGGATTTGTTCATGGCACCATATAGAACTGGCAGGATCAAGTGGCACATTTTGGGAGGACTTTTCACCGGCTGCCAACTCCTCTGCATCTCCGTGAGTTTCCTTGTGGTAGCGGTATTCGTTTGAGGGTTTGTAATGTGTCAGTTTGCATTGAAGATGTTGCCGGGCAGCACTTTCACTGTGGTCCGTACTTGCGAGCTCCTCATCACTCTAGTCAGTTCGATCGTACTGTTGGGGAAGTAGGCCCATCTAGTGTTGCAGTCAGCTGTGCATGATGTTGCTCTTAGGGTCTTCAATCGTTTCCATTACGTCGCCGTAGCGGCGATGCTCATTGGGGGTGCTATTGACTCCTTCGCTACGCAGCATGATGATAAGGTGTCAAAGCAGGATGTCCAGGTCGTGGCTGGAGTGCTTATTACTTTTTTCGGTAAGTTCTTGTCACAAATAGCGCGCGCCCGAGTAATCGATTGCATTCCATTGGTTGTTTGCCGATATGTAGTGTAGATCGCTGTGTCTTCAGGCGTGGCGCTGGCGAGCTCGTCCCAAGCAGTTCTGGTCGAGTGGCTGTATCAACACAACATCATGGTTAAGAAGCGATATGATCACTTAATGGAAATCTCCCTGTAATTTCTAATATAAAGTAATTTCGTGGCGAGTGACGGAATCGATAGATACACCACGTTCTACACATGTGTCGCTCTGATGCTCGGAACGTTCCTGTTCTCTGGAGATGAACCTCATTACTGGTACCAGGCTCTCAGTGTAAGTCGCTACTACCTGTTATCTCTTCGAGACAGTTTATTGTTATTCGTTCAGGATGCCATTCGAGCTGCTCCGTTTACTACTTGGTTGTGTCTTATCGGCTTGACTATGTCTCGTGCAGTGGCCATGACATCGAAAGGTTGGTGTCACGGTCCACTCGGACGCTATGTTCAACAGATCTCTCACTACAGTGAGAAGAGTCTGTCACGTGGGCCGATGATGCTCAGCTAGTGATAGGTGAAAATACACTGTGTGTTCAGATCAGCTTTATGGCGATCATTTTTCATGAACATCTGTGT